TTGACTTCCTTAATCTCAATCCTACTAGTAGGACAGTCATTGGACGTAGTATGATGGACGGCTGACCCATCAACATTACTATCTCTACAGGGAGAGGCACCATTATTAAATAAGACAAAGAAGTAACTACCCCAAACCCTCTTAATATCATGATCTTTCACTAAAAGAACACCATTATTATTTTTAATAAACCTAATGCTACCTAGATCCTTTTTCCTAATCTCCCTAGATTTTGCAAGCCTGAAGATACCGTTTTTTCTTTCCTTGGTGTCTAATCTCTTGTACATTTCCTCATATGCCTTATCATTTGCTTTAGCCACTGTTTTCTTGGCTTCTCGCTTTGCCTCCTTGTATCTTTGTTTAACTCTTGATCTTTCTTCGTTGTTATTGCATTATAGCAACTCCTTGAAACAAGTTTGCTTTGTCTTCACCTTAGTTTGGACTTCGTCGTTCCACCATCATGATTCTTTATGTTCCTTGACCTTCCCTGTCGATAACCCAAGGGTGTTTTTTCCCACCTCTCTGATGGAATTTGCCATATTTTTCCATAACATATCTGTATTATTTGAGTTTGTAGTACAAAAACATGTATGAGACAAAACCTTACTCCTAAAGTCATCAGTTGTCGCTCTGATAACTCCGTAAAAAGACTATTTTTAAGGCCCTTTTCACTTAAGTTATTGTTTTTTTAAAGGTATGTATAGGTCATTTTAGATATATGTAGCTGCATATAATTGCATTTGTGGTGGTTGTATTATTTTATTTTATTAAGGTGCTATATGAGGAGGAAGGTGTGGTTTTTAGTGATGTGCAGAAAATAACAAGCAAAATAGGTGAGCTGGGAAGTAATGTCGCGGCATCACACGCTGAAGCAGATTGAAATGCCTCGGTATTTCTGGCACAGAAAACGACAAAAATATACAGCTGTACATGGACAGCTGGCTCTGCACGTGAAATGATGGCTGTAACAGCCTGCTAGGGGACCACTGACACCTGGAGGATAAGGTTCATGCACAACATGTGATTCTAGGGGTATGAGGGGTATTTTGCACCCAACAATATCCCAACAACATCATCATTACCCCTAGATATTTTTATTATATATTACACCTCACAAGAGAGAGAGTGTGTGGAAGAAAATGAACGCATACTGTAGCAGAAAAATCATATTTTTATTTTCCCTTTTCCTTTATTCTTCCTTGGGTTTTCCTCCATTGATAAAGCTTCAAGGAGTGGTGAGCTAGGCGCCGAGAGGAGCTAGCGAGCTAAGGTGGTTCGTGGTGGCCGAGGAGACCTCCGGTGGTGCGCGTCGAAGGCTCTTTCTCACTTCCCTTTGCTCCTATTTTATTTATTTTATTTGTGGGCTGTTGGAACGAATATTTTATGGATTTTTCTATGAATATTTTGAACCCACCATGAACTAACTTATTTGGTGGTGGTTGGTTTAATGGATGTTTAAACTTTATTTTTAATGGTATGTTTAAGTTTATTTTGGTTCTTTATTTGCTTTGCTTATGAATGCTTCACCATCTAGGCTTGTAAGAGGTATGGAAATGTCCATTTCTTAGATGAAGGTTAGGTGTTCGGAAGAATCCTAAGCTAAAAATACTTGTAAGTATTCGGAAGAAACGCAAGGCAAGATCCTCATAAGCAATGGGTTATAGTATTTTCAAGGGGCTTTGAACCGGCCTAGGAATATTATAACCTAATCCCTTAGATCTCGGAAGAGACTATGATAGGATTTCAACGACTAAAAAGGGTGTCTTTATCAATAGGGTAGGCTGTCCAACATCGTTGAGTGAGAGCAGATGCCTTGGCATCCAATTCTGTTAGGTTCCTGTGAGAACATTTTAGGAAAGCCCTGTCGAGTAAGTAACGACCAGATAGCTTAAATCTGCCTGAGAGATAAGTTTAACATCCTTAGATCAATCCCTACCATTCATTCCATTGAAAGCTTGTCACGTGAGGATTATCTTCTTTTTATTTATTTACTGTTTTTTTACCATTTTCCTTTGCCATGACATTTCTTTTTGTTACTCATACACATTTCATTTGCCTCGGCATAATCATTTGTGAATACCATTAGCTATACTTAATTAATTTAGAATAGTGCATAAATTTTACTCAATATCCTTCCAATCCCTGTGGAGATGATACTCACTCATCACTGTATTACTTTTGCGATTGTGTATACTTGCACATTATTTGCGTATAATTTTATAGTACTCGCAATACGCAACAAGTTTTTGGCACCGTTGCCGGGGATTGGCAATTGATGATGTTAAGTTTAGTTGTTGCACCGTTTTATTTATTTTCTTTGTACATAGTTACTTGTTTTTGTGTTTACCTCTTTCAGGTGTTACGTTGTCACATGACACGTAAAAGACCCAAAGAACCATTATTTCATATAGAACCTGAGGCTCATGTTGTTCAAAATCAAGTGAAGGATCCTGCAGTTCTAAATGCCACGATAATTCCAAATGCTAGGAATGCTGCTCGACCACAAACTATTAGAGATTACTTAGCTCCCACCTTGGATGACCTAAAACCTGCTATTATAGCTCCCAAGATTCAGGCAACCCAATTCGAGCTCAAACCGGTTATGTTCGACATATTGGACTTGATTGGAAAGTTTGGTGGTGCTCCTCATGAGGATGCAAGGCAACATGTTCGAGAATTTTTGGAGGTTTGTGACTCTTTTCGACAACAAGGTGTGCATGAAGATGTACTGAAATTGAAGTTATTTCCATATTCTTTGAAAGATGATGCCAGGGCATGGCTCAATGGATTACCTTCCGGCTCGATAAGGTCTTGGGCTGAATTGTGCAAAAAAATTTTGCTATGGCATAATCCACCGAATATGAACAACCATCTTAGGAATGCCATAGCATCTTTTCACCAAGCTGATGACGAGTCAATGCATGAGTGTTGGGACCGCTACAAATAATTGCTTCGCAAATGTACCAACCATGGATTCCACGACTGGACTCAAGTCGTGATGTTATACAATGGAGCCAATGCACCCACGAGGATGATTCTAGATGCCTGGACAAATGGCACTTTGCTTGACAAATCACCTGAAGAGGCTTTTGGCATTCTAGATCGAATTGCTAACCATGATTACCAATTTCCCTCTTCAAGGTTTGAAACTATAAGTAAGGCATCTGGGACATTCAAGTTGGAAGCTGAAGATTCAGTGTCGGCCCAACTCTCTACCATCACCAATATGTTGAAGAATTTGCAAAATTCTAAGGAGGTGAAAGAAGTGAAGGTTGATAGCTTGGCATGTCTGTTATGCCAAGGCAATCACCATGAATGTGAATGCCCGAATAATCAAAAGTCCATCAACTATGTGGGAAGCTTCAATGGATGGAGTCAGCATCCCAATTTCTCATGGGAAAATCAAGGAGCTTTTAATGTCAGTCATCTTGCTCAGCAGCAGTATATGGATGAGCCCCCAGCCTTGCGAACGAATATGCCATGGCATAATAAGGGGACAACATCTTCTCTTAATACAAGTTCTCTAGAGGCCACTATGCAAGACTTTATGGCAACTACAAAGGCTTTATTACAAGATCACGATGCATCTATTAAGAGTCAAGAAGAATTATTACAAAGTCAAGGGGCAGGGTTGCAAAGTCATAGTTTTTCTTTGAGAGCTTTGGAAATGCAAGTGGATCAAATTGCCACGGCATTACAAGAATACCAACCAGATAGATTGCCTAGTGATACTGAAATCACTAAGGCTAAAGGCAATGAGTAATTTAGTACATTCACCTCAGGAAGTGGCACCAAGATCTACAAAGATGCTAAGTTTGGGAGGGGAAACACTCGAAGAACCTAGCTATGAGATTGTGCATGAAGAGTCTCAATTGCAAGAGGGCTTACATTCGCTGGAGAACAAAGCTGGATGTTCAATGAGTAAACCCGATGATGACAAGCAAAATAATGCCACGGCAAAAGAAAAACCCCCACTAGTAGGAGTTGATGACCAAAGGGAATCTGCAGAATCATGCCACGGCAATTTTGCATGCACTGGTGATTACTTGAAGCTTGATGAAGAAGAAAAAGATGAGCATAAGGATATTATGAAGGAGACGCGTCAGTCTAGCTTACTTATAGCTGACCAGGTACGAAATCTGAACCTGAGGATTTCATTGAATTTACTCAACCCCAATTAGTTGCCCATTTTTCTAGGCTAGAAATTGTGAAAGAACTAAGGAATAAAATGGAGAAACAATTCCCTGATGAGAAATTATTATTTTCCACGGCATTGTCGTGGTACGCTGACATTGTCAATTTTCTCGTTAGTGGTGTTTTGCTTCCTTACTTGAATAGCCAGGGCAAGAACAGATTGATGCAGGATGATGACCCCTACTTCTTGATCTAATTTGCTGCCCAAGCAATTAAAATATGTCACGACAATGGGGAGAAAAAAGAGAGGACTACTGCAAAGGTCCTACAAATTGGGTTCTATCGACTTACACTGAAGGTGGCGCTGTTATATATATGGAGAATTTTAGTCTATACTGATGCTCCAATCGAACACGACAAAAATACCATAGCAATTCATGATGTTTTGGAGTTTGCATCCCTTCAACTCTCTTTAATTTATGTTTTAGAAGTTTTGTTTTGTTTTTTTTCATGAGTGTTTTTTGTTTTTCTTTATTTTTATTTTTAATATTAGTTCTTTTTAGGATGAAGGGTGTTTTGGAGGAGGAATATGATGAAATCTCACGAGGGAACTGCACAAACCAATATGCCACGGCAAATCTAGATGTAATTGAGGCTCTAACAAGACGCAGTCGTGGCACCTGTTCACAAGGAGATGCTCCCACGTTTGGCTTATAATCTTCTCGTCATCCTGGACGTGATCTTGCCATCATTTTAGGATGCCACGACATTTGCAAATGTCACTCAGCAAGACAGTACACCCAAGCCAGAGGATGCTAACCCAGGCAACATGGACTAGATGACGTCTGAACTCATCTGTTGGGCGTATGGAGACCTCAACATCTAAGAACACTGAAGGCCCTAGCACACCAGCTGCTGAACCCAGTTCTGATCCTGACAAAACCCCCACATCACTGAGGAAGTGCACCAGACGTAATACTACTAGCACTGCCAGCACGACTCCACCACCATCTTAGGAAGACAAGGTACCTTGCATTGCATCGCATCACATAGCATGTAGTCTAGTTTAACTTAGTTTTTATTCAGCATTGAGGACAATGATTTTCTCAAGTTTGGGGGAGGTAGTGTTCTTTGTAGAACATGTGCATGATAATATTAGCATAATGTTATGCCATGGCATCAGTAAATGGTAGAACAGTTAAATGAAATGTTTTGATGATACCTGATGATGATGAACTTTTTAGGCTAGAAATTGAATGTAAATGACTGTTGAGAATGATAGAACTGACTCTAGGGCTTGATGCTTTGTGAATTATTCTTACACGATTTGTATGTTTTCTATACTTAAAGAACTTAGGAAGTTTTTATGAAAGAACTCTGGTTAGCCTTGGCATTAAAATATGGTATTATGCTTAAATGATAAATCAATTAAAAAAAACTCCCTTATCTCTGAATTTTGTTTAATCGTGAATAAATGCTTCGGCATAGCTGTAGAGGGACACTCCTCTTTGCCGTGGCATTGCCTGGAACTCTCTTTAATAAATGGCAGCCACGCACATACGAGTGAATGAAAGTAGTCACGGGATGACTCTGTCTGACTAGCTTAGGGGTGGAGGGTATGCTCCCTTTCACCTAGAGTGTGGGATGGTAGGTGTGATGAGCTGACTCCCTTCGTAGCAGTGTAAAAAAAAGTGAAAAAAAATAAGAAAAAAAATGTGTAGTAAGTGAAAAGGGAGTATAAATGTGCTTAAATCTGCCTGAGAGATAAGTTTAACATCCTTAGATCAATCCCTACCATTCATTCCATTGAAAGCTTGTCACGTGAGGATTATCTTCTTTTTTATTTATTTACTGTTTTTTACCATTTTCCTTTGCCATGACATTTCTTTTTGTTACTCATACACATTTCATTTGCCTCGGCATAATCATTTGTGAATACCATTAGCTATACTTAATTAATTTAGAATAGTGCATAAATTTTACTCAATATCCTTCCAATCCCTGTGGAGACGATACTCACTCATCACTGTATTACTTTTGCGATTGTGTATACTTGCACATTATTTGCGTATAATTTTATAGTACTCGCAATACGCAACACGCTCCATGTAAGTTCTTCCAAAGTATCCTAGGTTTACCTAGTTTAGCCCTTATATGAGTGCTCCGCCCGTGGCGTACGCGGAACACCAAAACTAACAATCTGTGTTGTGATGCATATGCCTCTTCAGGGAACACCTTACAGTCAATGCAAGCCCATTAATCCCGATTTCAAACCAGGATGTAGTCGATTTGGGTACAATGTCCCCCGCTATGGAATGTAATCAAGTTCACATCTCTCTTGTTAAAGAAAGAGTTAGTGACCACCATATCGTGTGCAGTAGCAAATTCAAGCAACGTGCGCCCCTCCTTGTTCCTACTACCAAAACCAAAACCCCCATGAACACCGTCATACCCGTTGATTTCACTACCTATATGGCCATTAAAGTCTCCCCCTATGAAAACTCTTTGGTCCTCCGGAATGCTCCTAAGTACATCATCTAACGAATCCCAGAAGCAACGTTTCTCCCCCTCCCCTAGGTCAACGTGTGGGGCGTACACTGAAAGGACATTCACCATTTCCATTTCTATAATAACCTTAATCATCATGATCCTATCACGGTATCTACAAACTTCAACTACATTTTCCTTGAGCCTAGAGGATACCAAGATATCCAACCCATTTCTAGCGTTATCTACGCCTGAATACCACAACTTATACCCGTTACACTCTCTGGAGCTAGCCCATTTCCACCTAGTCTCTTGAATACATGCAAAATCTATTTTCCTATTACTTAGTACGTCGGTAAACTCCAGCAGCCTAGCATTTAATGTGCCTACATTCAACATACAAACTCTAAGTCTAGTCTCCTTGACACCACTCTGTCGAGCCCTCCCCCTTAACGCCCTATGGGATCTAAAAGAATGACATGACCTCAAGTAATCATATATAGCCGAAGCTATGAGGAACTATAAAAAAGGAATCCAAAGAAGGAATGAGATGCACCAATAAAACGATAGAGAATTAAGGGGTACTAAGAAGCCTAGTTGGTTACTAAATAGGATTTTAATTTATAAAATACTATTGTTATTATTATTGCTAAAAGCCTAGTGTAAAAGGAAAGAAAATATAATAATATTGGTTTTTATTATTATGCGGGGGTAAATATTAATGATTATAATTAATTGTTAAAAGCCTAGTGTTAAAAGGGAAGAAAATAGAATAATATTGATTGTTAATTTATAAAAAAACGTTCTAATGTTTACTGTCAATTTCAAAAAAAATTGAAAAATTTGAATTGAATACTAGGAGTCTAGAACAATGAAAAAATACAGATCCAGTAAATCCTACTCGAAGCACAGTAGAAAAATATAGATCCAGTATATCATACTCAAAGCAAAACTGCTTTTCAAGTAAATAACAAATTCTATGGAAGTTTAAGACGTCATCAACTCAAAGCCTTACTCAAAACATGTTGAACTTTTTTTCAGTAAAATTTCCATAAATAATCCAGTCAAACCTCAGAATCTCAAGATCCTATAATTTTCAAGAACCAAAATACTGAGAAACTCCAAAAAATTAACAGATCAAAAAGCAATTCGGTCAAGATTCACTAAAAGAAAACTAATTTCCCGCTGCTACTACAAACAACAGAGTTAAATCTACGAACGAAAACCACAATGCAAAAGTAACTAAAAGAAGAAGGAATACAGAAGGTAGAAAAGGGAACCTGGGACAATGGATTCCGAGCAGATCTGAGCAGAAATAAAAGAGGAAAGGAGATTTTTTACCAATCAATTGTCAAAACCCCAAAGAGAAGCGATCTGGGAATGAATAGGAAGGCCGGAAAGTGAGGTCCGTTGAAGGGGGAGAGGAGATTTTTTTCCAGTTTGGTATTCCACACTCAGATCTGATTTCAAGCTTTTCAACTATCGAAAGATATCATCCATAAAATAACAAAAATAATTAAAAAAACTTACAGATTCAACGGTTAGGTAGTGATGGAGGTGAAGAAGAGAGGAAAAGAGGGGCAAAAAAGGAGCGAGTTATAAATTTTAGGGTCCAAAGATCGACAGTGATCGACAATGATGATGGTGAGTGATGGTCATTGATAAGGGACTTTGGTTTAATTCAATGATTAAATTAATATTATATCTAAAGTTTAAGGGTCAAAATGATATTTTATCTAATTTTTAAGGTGAAATTAGTATTCTATTTGAAGTTGAAGGGTCAAATAAAAAATCAACCCTTTTTTACTAACGTGTCATGTAATCAAACTAACAAGAATTAACAGCTCAATGACCAAATATAACAATCAATAACATAAGTAAACAAAATTGAATAAATAGATGATATATGCAACCGAAACATAACTTTTTAAGCTTGATTAGTAAAGTGTATAAATATAAAAGAAAATAGTCAACCTGGTAATTAACCCCTTTAAATCTATAAATATGAAGTGATTACACTTGTGCAAGTGTCAATAGATAAAAAAATTATATATTAGATTTAAAAAAATTTAAAATAACAAATTTAAAATTTTGTGTAATTTTTATCGGATGAGCTTTAATAATTTTTTTATGAATATTGGGGTCACCATAAGATAGTATCTATTCAAATATTCTAAACTATTTAATATTGAATGTCCATACCCCTCCATACATAGTACTTGGACTCATAACCTAGAAATAACAAAAATTCATTATCCATTAAGATGGTTTGGTTTATGATAATGAGCTATAATAATTAAATCCAAAGAAATAATTAACGAATTCAGAAACAGACCCGAAGAAAACATGATCCAAGAAATAAAAATGATCGAACCATGAGATAAAAAAATCCAAAAGAAGAAGAAGAAGAAAGCATGTAAATATTAACCGGGCGGTAAAAACTGGCAAGCCCGAGCTAAAAGAAAGGACATCGAAGCCCTGTTGAAGGATAAACTCAACTATACCTATCGCTGTCACGAGATCCCTTGGGAAACAGTAAGGCCTCCCCAAGTCACTAAATTAAGGACCTAGTCATCGAGAGTTCGATAAAGTCGAATCTAAAACCATGATAACTGTAATATCCAAATTTTGTTCAAGCAACTTCAAATCGAATACGGATTGGAAATACGAATTTGGAGCTGTGTGATTGAAGGTTGGCCTCAGTTGAATTTTATTCAAATCGAAGAGAGGGCTTTGAATGGCTTCGCTCAAGTGAAAGATTTGGATTTATTATGAATCAATATCTGTTTTTTTTTTTATTAATCAGTGATAAGTATAAGGTAATATATGTTCATAGATAATTTTCAACTATTTAACATTAAATGCTTACAACCGTAGTATTTCTGATGCTCGAACCTAAAACTTCAAGAAACATCAACAATTCTTTTAACATCAAAATCTTTTGATTCGTTTTCTTTTTATTATTATCATCTTTGTTCCATTTGAATGAAAAGGAAAGACAAAAAAAGAATGAAAAAAAATTGAATACCCAAAAGATAGATATTATTGTCCAAAACCAAAATTCAATATTTTATTAACAGCAAAGTCCAAGTTACATGAGCCCCAACAGCCTATTAGATACAAGTCTAGTTACAGAAAGTAATCACAAACCCAAATCAATTACAATACAAGCTCGTTTACAGCTATAAATCCTGCTAAAAACCAATGGTTAGAGGCATGTTTGCGATAAGGGTAACCAGGGTTCGTAATAACCCTTATGTGCTGCTAAGCCTAATCATCAGATCATGGAGAGATCCAATGATCTAGAGATTGTAGAGAACAATTAGGGTTTAGCGATAGTTAGAGGTTTATTCGATGCAGTTCGGTTCAATTTATTAACAGAATATAAATTGAACCACATATTGCAGGTTTTTTAAAAATAAATCCAAAAAGAAAGTTAAATGGTTAAAAAAACCCAAAACAAAAAATTGAATTTCGGTTTGAATCAATATAAAGTCGCAGTTTTACTTGCAAATAAAGCAAATGCCCCTCCCAAAGAAAAGAAACACAAATCCGAAAAGGCCGACGAAGGCAAATTCATATAGAAGCGAATACCCCTAGAGAGAGCTTATTTGTAGAGCTTGGGGATGAAAAAACACCTGCAAATATCATTACATTTCATGGAAAAATATAACCAATCGTAATATTAATGACAACTCTTCATTTGATAGACATAACCTGCTATTGTTGTATCAACTATTTCAACTATGCTTTAACTTAAAGGTAGAATTAACCTAATTAATAATCAACACCAACTCAGTTATCTTTCAGCCAAATAAACATAGCCTAACTTATAAACACACCGTATTTTGGAAGATGTTGAAAACCAACATATATAATTATAAACGTACAAAACACTTAATCATTGGATGAATTCCCAAAGCATTTCCATCAACAAGTCAACTGGATAGCTTAGCAGTTCGTTAACTAGAAAATCTGAAACAATGGAAACACAAGTCAGAAATGACAGACCATGTTCTTTTAAGTTGATACTTCGTTCAAATGTTTCACACTGAAACTTTATATCAAATTCCTGCCTGTTAAAAAGAATAGCTTATTTATTTTGATATTTATTATGTTGAGAAGGAAACTAGTGACTTACTAACTTCATCAAGCTTTGAGTTTTACTAACCAAATCATTATTCATAAAACCATTTTTTATAAGAAAAAATACAAACAAACAAACAAAAAATACACAAATTAAAATCTCTAAAAAAAACAAATTTTGAGTGCAGATGTTAAATCGAATAAACATGGGAAGGATTCTACTTTCTCTCATGTAAACTTTATATTATCCTCTTCCAATAACAAAATCTTGTTAACTAGCTTATTATGGTAAGCCTGTGCAAAACTATAAGACAATGGATGCGTAAGATTAAAGAGAGAAATAACTTAGAACTATCAATTGGCCAAATACGTGTTAAACCATTGCCTGCTTTCTAACTCGTGATCGGATAACAGATTTTCTATTCTTGATCTTTCTCCTTAACCACCCACTACAACAAAACTGTTCGGCGTTTTTAACGACGTTTTGAGAGTAAACGCCACTAACTTTAAACATATAGCGGCGTTTATATTCCAAACGCCACAAAATGGTAACTTTAGCGGCGTTTTTATACAAACGCCGCAATAGGGTTCATCTATAGTGCGTTTTTTCAACAAACGCCGCAATAGAGTAATACTTTAGCGGCGTTTTTATACAAACTCCGCAATAGGATTCATCTATAGTGGTGTTTTTCAACAAAACGTCATAATAAAGTAGTACTTTAGCGGTGTTTTTATACAAATACCGCAATAGGTTCATCTATAGTGGCATTTTTTTGAAATAACGCCACAACAAAGTAGTACTATAGCGGCATTTTTTTACAAACGCTATAATAGTTTGGTATGTTTGTGGCATTTGGTTTTAAAAAAGTAGTAAATTTTAAGTATAACCTTATATGATTTCAATTTCACGTAAAAAGTTTAGAAAACCCTAAAAAACTAAAACCCTATTTATTTAAATTCTCCCCTCCTCCATCTCTACACGGTCGCCTCTCCCTTAGAGACCAAAACCCCATGCGGTCGTGAAACCCCCGAAGGCTCCAGGCCACCTCGAAACACCATTCATCAGTGCAGTTCTCTCTCTACGGTCGACAACCGGTTGCCACTGAGAAGACTCCCAAAGCCTAAACCGAATAAAACCCTAGATTTCCCTCGTCTATTCTCCAAAAAGAAGGATCTTGATTCTAAACCGAAACCTAAGAAATCTATAAACCCACTCACTCCTTGCTCCGACAACCGACAACCCTCGGTCTACCCCTCTCGATGACGAGCGACAAACGATGACGATTTCTAGGCTTTGGTGAGAGGTTCAAGCGAACGAGGTAACAATCCCCTCTCCCTTCCTATTTCGATGGCCCCCAAAGAAACAAAATGACCCTTCATTTTTTACAGTCCTAAGTTTCATTTTGCCTTGACTGCATAATTATTTATTTATTTTATTGATTTATTTTCGATCTGTTTGATTTGGCAAACACATAAATCTGATTGACAAGAAGATCACATGTACACCACTGGAAAAAAGAACATCAATGCTAAATTAGTTTGTTTTCTATCTCTCACGATCCTTTAAACCCTCGTTTTTTAATCACTTGAATTTTCTGCGCTTTGGGTTGGCTTTAGATGCTGAATTATGATCTGGGTCTTGATGTATGGTGCTTCATGTTTTCTTTTTATGTTAATTATTTTGGGTTATATTGAATTATGATTTTTTCTACCTGATTCTGACTCCCTTGTTAACTGTAACTACTGGATGTGCTTTTGTTAACTCGTTCACGTGGAGGTCAATTAGATCAGTGACTATGTTAATAACATCATGGTGAATATTAATGCACGTTGAACTTTTCTTAATCTTCTGGTGTTAAGCTATTAATGATTTGTTCTTATTGCTTAAGATTCTATGTTGCAACTATGATTTAAAGCTATGTAACCTTTGTTTTCATGAATGAAAACCTTAGAAAGGTCAAGCTACTCTAAATTCTTGGTTGTGTTCTTTTTAACCTTAAAAATTATATTGCCATAACTGAGAAACTTGAGCTTTGTATCATGAAGCTGAACTCAATTGAGTGAGTGGCAAACTAGATTTTTTGCAGCCACAGTTAGAAGACTTGTGGTGGAGGAATGAAGTTGAATAAAATGGAAGAAAAGTAAGTGGAATGTACAAATGTAATATAATGGGATCTATTTAATTTTCCAAAAACTAGTTCCTAGGATCACTTTCAAATGATGCAGATCTTCCATAGATTTCAAGAAGATACAAGTTTGGGCCTTCGTCTCGCTCTTAACCATTCTACACGTATCCATGTATGCATGATAAGTGTTGTATATTATTTCAAGCCATTAAGAGACAAACGTACTGAAAATATTTTTTATTATATATATATATAATTTCTTAGATTGAATTCCTAATGTACCATGCAGTACACCTATGAAAAGCGAGAAACGTACGGAAAAGTATTTTTAAAAATATTTTCTTTGATTGAATTCCTAATGTTCTATCCAGTACACATTTGAAATACCTTCAATGTTATACACACACACACACAAAGGAACTTGTGAAACATTGAACTTTCCTATTCTGGAAGTGTAAACATTTCCAATTCCTATTTCCAAGTATTAGCAGTATAGCTGGTTACCTTTTCAGTTAAGATTTTCCTGATAATAAATTGCTCTGAAAACAGAAATCAGAGAACATTCCGCCCCAAAAAAATTGCACCTTTTGGAAGTAAGGTTGGTTACTTGTTCCTTCTTTATCTTTTTAATAAGCATAATTAGTAATGTTTATCTTCTGCCTGTGAGAATTTGATGCGATATGTTATCTTACTCTGTTCTTTAATCTGGATTGTTAATTTGACCACCTTCACAATTTTCCCTCTTGGGAAGTAAATTGTGTCCTCCTTATGATGACTAGAACTTCTTGGGTGTGAGCATGAAGCTTTAGCATCTTGGAAGTCTATTAGAAAATTTTCAGAAATAGAAATAAAATCAATGCAAACACAACTTGACACTTAAGATCTAATGCCTCCAAAAATCCAAACAATGACCCTGGAAGGTTGACCTTGTTTGCAAAGCATAAATCGCATTTTGTAAGTTACATTGTTTAGATATCTTCTAATAATTGATTTCCAATTTATTTAATTACTTTCTTTTCATTATGTCTTTCAATTTCATTCACATTATAAAATCTTTTATTTTATCATATTTGTGAAATTCACGGAAGAAGAAAAAAAACACAGGTTTTATGATTCTGATCGAGGCTGCTAAGTTCTGCCATTGGACTTTTGTGGCATTATTTGCTGTAGGTATTACCCTTTATGGTGGGCCAAGAGCGAGTTCTTTGTTAAAACTTCCCGAGACTCAATCATTACATCATGAGTACAGTTCACTGGCTTGCACAGTTGATATTGTGGATGATGTGGAGGCTGCTATTGGCCACATACACCAGTATGGAAGGCATGTCATGTCTCTTGGAATTCTTTTTCTTTTGCTTTCCATTGCTTTATTTATGCCTTAGTTGTTAGCTGCCTTTCTCTGAATTTCAAGCAATTTGCTCGCTTTGCAGTTCTCACACCAATGCCATTGTCACTGATGATCTTGAAGTTGCTGAAACGTTTTTGCACAGAGTGGACATGTATGCCTACATCTGGCCTAACGTCATTCATAGAGTAATTACTTATTTCTTCTGCTTACCATGTTTGTGGGCATAGATGCAATAAATTGTTGTTGGTGCTATTGCAATTCTTTATCTGTTTTTGATACAGCGCTGCAGTATTTCATAGCAAATGCACACGGTTTTGTGATGGAGCACGATTTGGACTTGGTGCTGAGGAATCAATCCCTCAAAATATCATTTGTTGGACAACATTGTCAATTTCCTGAACTGTTTCTATTTTGATGCAAGAGTTTTAACAGGTTGGAGTAACAAGCATGATTCATGCCTGAGGTCCGGTTGGAGTTGAAGGATTGTTAACAACTCGATGGTATTGTTTTAAATGAAATGAACTGAGTTGATTATTCTGTAAGTTTTAACAGGCTGGAATAAGTACAAGCATGATCCATTGCTTTTGGTTACTGCAAAATAACAACGGACATTACCAGCTCTTTAAATAATGTCATCAGACACAAGGTTTAAACTCATCAATGAAATAATTTTATATTAGCATTAATGGAAGTTTAAGGATTAAGATAGTGGTGATCAACAATTTACGGGTTCAATGAAGAGCAACCCAATCAAACTTGCCTATGCCAACCTTTTGCAAATAGAGGCGTTTGTTGTACAAATGCCACTACAAATCATAATATATAGCGGCGTTTTGTATTAAAAACACCGCTAAAAATAATAGAATTAGCGGCGTTTGTGACAAAACAAATGTCATTGAAAACAATAGAATTAGCGAATTTTATGGCAAAAAACACTACTAAAGACAATAGAATTAGCAACGTTTGTGGAAAAAGCGCCACTAAAAACAATAGAATTAGTAGATTTTGTGGCAAAAAATGCCACTAAAGACAAGAGAATTAGTGGCGTTTGTAGAAAAAAAAGCCATTACAAGCGAATTAGCGGTGTTTGTCGCAAAAAAGGCTACTAAAGACAAGATAATTAACGACGTTTGTGAACAAAACGCCACTATAAATCACAACATATAGCGGCTTTTGAAAGAACAAGCGTCGTTATATAACTCGACCTTTTACGGCGTTCGTTTTAGCAGCACTTTTTGTTGCGCTCTTCCTAACGCCGGTAGTTTTTTTAGCGGCGCTTAAAAACGCCGCTATAAGACTAAAAAACGTCACTAAAGACTTGTTTTGCTGTAGTGACCTCTTAATACTATTCTCAAATACATCTTCAACATCTATTTTCTATCCTCTCAAATATTTAAGAACATATTCAATTTAAAAAAATTATAAAATATATTCAATTTATAAACACAAATTCTAAATATTCTACATCACCATCTTATAATCTCAAATATCCAACACCATAAAAAAATATTTAATATTGTAAAATATATTCAAATTTAAAAATATAATATTTAATCAACTTGTTATGAAAACAGATCCAATATATATATTCGAATGGGTCAAGAACACGACCTATAGTGCTAAAAACATATTCTGAAGTTAATGCATGTAACCCCCTAGACCTGACTTGGACGTTACATATCATATTCAGAAATTCTTTTCATATTTAAAACAATGTTAAAATCTATATAATAGTATAGTATGGAATTATCAATAAGAAAGATTCATACGATAAACATATGTATATATATATATATATATCAGAAAATCGTATAGAACATATACAAAACAAAATATCGGTGATACATATATATCGAGACGGTAGTAAAAAACATGAATCACCAACGTATAACAAAAAACATATAGAGATATACAGTGGTAGAAAAATAGGAGTAGTTGGTCCTCCTGATGCCAAGTCTGCTATTATCTGAAAAAGTTAAAATTTACATAATGAGCTGAAAAGCTCAGTGTGCTCCTTACGGTGTATAAAAACATACTGATAAAATATTTCAGTAAAAATCAATTTATCAAACATGTTTTAAAAATATGACCACTACCCCTATCCGATCACCAGAATGTGTAGGTTCCCCAGAACCATACACCCGCCAGTACACCCGATAAGGGCCTTATAGGAAAACAATTCAGATAAATAGTTTAAAACAGTAATGTAACAACATCAGGAAACAAACCTGTACCGGTCTGAGTAGTATAATAGGAAAGCCTACTATTGAGTCTTCCTATCACAATCAGCGGCAATGCTAGATCCTAAAAATTGGAAAATTCATATAGGAATCCTAATATGAATAATAATAACCTTTATTTAAACAATTTACAGAAACCTACGAGTAACTCTCAAATAACTTGAATTGAGCAAATTTGACGGATGGGAAGCACCGGATCTAACCAACCCTCGATCGGGTGAAACATGAGTACCTTCTTTAAAATATTTTCTTGAATCAATTCCATAACCAAATCTCAAATAAAAAAGTAAAAATGCTAAAAATACAACGTATTTTCGGATTAATGGGCTCGATTTAGAGATTTTGGGTCAAAATTTGGCAAAATGGATAACAAAATCGGGCTCAGGACGTCGAAAAACATTGAGATAGAAGTTTTCAAAAAAGTTAACGTCAGTCAATGGTCAACGCCGATCAAAGGTCAACGGTCAGTCAACGGTCAACAGTTGACCGAATTGGATCGGGTTGGATCGGTTCAGGTTAGATCGAGTCCAGTCAGACCGCGTTGAACAGGCAGGTCGGGTTGGGCAGGTGGGTCAGATCGGGTCGGCATGTTCTAGAAACCACTAGGCGATGGGACTTCTGCATGGCGGTACATGGGGCACGTACGGGCCTTCGGGGGTCGAAAAAATGTGGAAAATTCCTATATGTATTTTAAGGGGTTTTGAGACACTTACAAAGATTGGTTCACATCGGTGAATGACGGAGAGCTCGATTTTGCAACGTTAGAAACTTGACTTTCCTCACCCTCTCACACGCTGGCGACGACGACAACGAGGCAACCACCGTTGAACTCATGACAATGTAAGGAACACCAGGGTATGGTGGTGTCGATCACGGAGCAACGGTCGGAAGTCAAATGATGATCAAAGTTTCTTGGCTAAAAAGGGAAGGTTTGAAGAGATAAAATGAGTTTCCAAAAATGAAAACTGTTGAATTTTGGGGTTTTAAACCCAACTAAAAAAGAAAATAGGTAAATTACATTATAGGTCCTCAAGATTTGGTTACTTTCTGATTGGGTATAAATTTAATTAAAATTTTATTTTGGTCCCCAAATTTTATTAAAATTTCAATTTAGTTATCAATTTTTTTAAAAAAAATTAGGTCCTAATTTGTGGTGTGAGAACTCTCTCCCTTAAAAGAAAATTCATCCTCGAAATTTACCTGATGTAATTAGATGTGAAAACTGAGCCTCCATCGACCTAATTCTATGAACTGACCTACGGGACTATAATCTGTCACCAAACTCTTAGTATTCTCAACTAGGATATTAAGGCTCCGAGAAATGGAATGCGACACACAGGAATGAGTAGATCCATTATCAAACAAGGAAAAGTAGGGAACTGAATTAATAGTAACAATGCCTGCAATCACATCAGGCTCATTATGGTCATATCGACATCTAGTACCATAAACCAACCCAAGCTATATGACCTCAGATCTGGCTGGACCACTACTCTGAGAAGGTCAATCTCTACTAGCCGATCTCAATGCTCTCTCTTGACTACGACCCCCTGCTGAAGTCTGAACTGTACTCTAAGTATGAACGGGAGTACAAGTTGGTATCTGAACTGTAAGAGCTGGCTCTAGAAAATCCCTTAGGAAATGGTCACCAGAACTACATATAAAAAAGATACCCAACTTCATCCTTCATTCACCAAAATGAAGTCTCCTATAGTGCTCACATGACGGAAAATGTTGCGATCCAAAAGAACCACCGTGAATAGAAAGTGTCACATCTGACGAACTTAACGGCACATGCCTGGAACTCACACCACCTCTCTGAAAAGACTTACCCCTGCCTCTCTTATTGGGCGTGCAGAAGAGTCAACAGAACCAGAAGGCCTCCTGAATCAGTCTTAGTCTCGGTCTCTATCACTCTTGTGTTCTATACCCACTCGCTCTATCTCCTCAATGGTCTTGGCTATCTCGGCCAAGGCACCAAATTTCCTCTCCTGGTGGGTAGCAACTCTACTCATGATCTCAAACCTGAGTCCATTCTCGAACCTCAAGCACTGATCCAATTCAATGTCAACAAGTCCAGTAGAATAGTAGCTCAATCTGATAAATTCAATCTCATAATCCATAATATACATATTACCTTACTCCAAATTCTGAAACTCATGGCGTAGCTCCTGCAGGTATCTTTATCCGATGTAGCGACTCTAAAAACATGACTTGAAAAGATCCCAAGTAAATCGATTCCCCGAAATACTATTGGAAATCGATTGCCACCATCTAAAATTCTCTTTCTTCAGCATAGCTAAGGCCCCCTTTAACTTCTTCTCAGGCCTCAAATCCATCTCATCCATAATCCTCTTTGTATCTCCCATCCAATACTCAACGTCAGTTGTAGGTCCACCAGTAATTCCCTCAAACGAAACTACTTCATCAGCTACCAAAGACTTCAAAATTTCGACCGTAGACATATTACCAGGGACTCTAGAAACTCTCTAGAATATGCGAAAAATAACTATATTAATGGTATCCTCATCCAAATCAATGTTCTCGTTCTTAGTGACGGGAGGGTTTCTTGCAGGAGTAACCAGATCATAACAAGAAATAGACAGATCCACATACAGAATAGGAGGATCTCACGGTGACATTGGATCGTCTATAGTAAAAGAAGGTCGAGTTGCTCGCCCTCGACCATGACCACATCCTGACCTACGACCTCTAGCAACACTCATCGGATAAATCTACAAGGCTATACATAAAGAATTTGAACCTAAGTTAGACTAGTATTAGGATTCTTGATTATATTTAAAACTCATTTAAAAATATCTTAAAAATTCAGAGTTTAGGACTTATCCACAGTCCGAGTGTTTAAAACCAATGGCTCTGATACCACCAAGTGTAATCTTCTAGACCTGGCCTGGACGTTATGCCCAAATCTAGGCTGTTACATATAGTATTCATAAATTCTTTTCATATTTAAAACAATGTTAAAATCTGTATAATAGTATAATATGGAATTAGCCATAAGAAAGATTCATACGATCAACATATGTATATATATAAAACCATATAAAACATTTACAGAACAAAATATCGGTCATACAGATATATCGAGATGGTAGAAAAAACACATATCGCCAAAGTATAACAAAAAGACATATAGACATATACAGCGGTTCAAAAATAAGGTTAGTCGATCCTCCTAATGCGAAGTCTGCTAGTCTACTACTATCTGAAAAAGTTAAAATTTACAAAATGAGCTAAAAAAAACCCAGTGTGCTCCTTATGGTGTATAAAACATACTAATAAAATACTTTAGTAAAAAATAATTTATCAAACATGTTTTAAAAATATGACCACTACCCCCATCCGATCACCAGAATGTATAGGTTCCCAGAACCATACAC